TATTTCATTGTAGGCCCTTCCTTCTCCAGCACTTCCTTGGTTCTCCAGGCTTTCTCTTCAACTCTATCATTCCTCCCCCGCCAGATGATTTTATCCACTCCCATGGCTTTAAATATCATTTATATACTGGCAACTCCCGAATTTACTTCTCCAGTCTGCACCTTTCCTCTGAGCTCCGAACTTAAACCCAACCGTTTCCTAAATAACTGTTCCAGTAACTCCCAGGCATCTTCCTCTTTACTCTTGACTTCTCCCCCAAGCCTGTTCCTCCTGCATTTTCCACTCGGTAAAGGCACCACTCTTCACCCTCTGCTCAAGCCAGAAACCTGAATGTCTCACCTCTACAGTCTATCACCAGGAACAGGCACCGCAGGATATACCCCAGGGGTCTGCAAACTGCAGCAGCCTGAGTACCACATCCACTCTACCACCCTTTTTTTTTTGTTCAGCTCACCAGTTAAGAAAGGTGTTACCTTTTTGAATGATTGGGAAAAATCAAAAGATTATTTTGTGACACAATGAAATTATATGAAATTACATAGTGCCTATAAATAAAGTTCCATTTGCACACAGCTGTACTTCATTCATTTGCACGTTGACTGTGGCTGCTTATGCACTACAACAGGAGAACAAGTGGTAACGATGCCCCAAATATTTACTTTCTGACCCTTGGCAGAAAAAGTCTGCCAACCCTGATATACCTTTACTCTCTCTCTTTCCACCTCCGCTTCTCTCTCTGGTCTTCCAAGTCACCATCATCTCTTGCTTGGTAACCACAAAAGCCTGCTTACCAGTCTCCCAACTTTCTCTCCAACTAGTTCTGTACTCTAACCTATAACCTATACTCTATACAGCAGCCAGAATAGCTGCTATGAAAACACAAATTGCATCATGTCATCACTTATAATATTTTAATATTTTATCTCAGGATTGTTCCTCTTACTTGGGGTAAGATCCCAACTTCTCCATGGCCATACCTGGTCTGCTCCCTGGACTTGCCAGCCCCAACAGTGGGCCTTCTAGTCCCTTGCCAACACAGTCCCTTCTTCTTGGATGGCTGGGTTACACCACTCTCTCCTGAGATTCACCTTGGCAGAAAAGCTGGGTCAGAGGTCCACCACCCTAAGGCAGTCCCTGTTATTCATTGCCCACCTTGATACTGGAACTTCCCTGGGCAGGAAAGGCATCTGCTTTATTTACTATTGTATCCTTAATTCTAGTAAAGACTCAATTCTAGCAAAGTGCTCAGTGTATGTTCAGTGAATGCATGAAGGAATGAATGAGTACATCCATGTTTGGGTGGATAGAGAGATGGATGGATGGATGGATGTTTGTATATGGGAAAAGGGTCTGGAAGCCTGATAGGGAATACCCCCCTGGGGCAAGGAAACGGGGGTAGAAGCCTACTTCCATTTTCTAGTTGCTACACTTCTGTGTCTGGATCACCCCTAGTAGTCCTCTCCCTCTTCCCCCTTCCAGAAGCCAGGTCACAGCACCACATGTCATGGGCTCCAACCCCTACTGCCCCTGCTGCCACGTCCGCCAATGCAGGGCCTCTCCCCCAAGCACACAGTTCAGTGTCTCCCCTGTGGAGTCCCAGTTCCTCAGAGCCTGTGTGGACTTTAAGGTGACCTGGGAGCCCTGCCTTCCAGAGGTGGTACTGTCCCTGCTCCAAGGCTCCAAGGCTCTCAACAAAAAAATGCTTCTCACCTGAACCCCCAGCAGATTTCCCTCCAACATTCTCTCCCTAAGCCTCAAGAAGGCCAAATGTCTGAAGGCATGAGGGGCGTGGAGGAGGCAGAGCACTGGTCAGGACCAGAGAGTATGGAAGGGGCTCCTGGAGGCACGGGTGTGCTGAGGATCAGCCTCAAGAAGAGAAAGCACTCTCAGCTGTGTGCCAATGGCCCCGGCTGTGGCACCAGGATGACTTGGTCAGGGACACCCAAATCAGGCCTGCCCTCTCCCCAGCCCCCCAAGATGAGTCCTCTCTGCCTCACGGTGGGGACTCTCAGCACATCTTGCCAGGCTACAGAACAAGAAGCCTATGCCTGCCTTCGGGGTGCCGGAAAGAGCCAGTCCCGGAGCCAGACCGCATCCGAGCTCCAGCATTGGCCAGCTGTGTGTCTTTGGGCACATGGCTTCCCTTTTCTGAGCCCCAGCATGCCCATCTATACAACAGAGGTAACGATGCCCTTCCTCATGCGACTACTATAATGATTTTAGGAGATGACACTTATTGAGCATCCAGGATAGCCCCAGCCCCAAAACTTGAAAACCCAATGCTTTTATCTGGAACCTCATACTGCAGGCGAGGCAGAACTGGGGAATGGCAAGTGGGGGATGGTTGCATAACAGCACACATGGCCCTCTTCCAGATATTTGCTCCATTCTGAGCAAACAAGACCAAAGGAAATTTCTCAAGGATCACATATGTCCACACTCTTCCCTCTCCCATTGGTCCAGGCCACGCCTTTCCTCTTTTGCTGGTAGCCCAATCTGTCACTCCTGCCCTGAGGGGTGTGGGAAAGGGATAGCAATAAGAAGTTGCCACCCACTCAGAGGACAAGCTCAGGGGCAGTGACATCATCCTGTCTGCCTTTCTTCTCCCTAGCCTGACCCCATGACTCAGGGCCAGAGGCTCAGACCCTATATAGTCCTAATCTTGGAGGTTGCTTGGATTTGAGTCATTTTCTTCACCCAGCCCAAACCCTACATGTCTAGCTGAGAACCAGCCAGCAACAGGCCAGATGCCTGTCCTACAACACTTTCTAGGAGTCTTTCTGGGTGCTGTGGAGTCCCAACTTTGACCCCAAACAGTATTGTCCAGGTCAATGTGAAATCCAAATTCTGCTCCAAAGAATGAAGATATATGACTCTGGAAAAGGCCACAGTTTAAGGATAGGGGAAGTCCCACAGGAAGACTCAGAAGTCAACCTCACCAGTATAAGGACACAGCCTCCTCAGAAGGGACAACACTTCCTTCTCTTACTGTCTTTTCCACAAATATTCAAGCACCCAGAGGCCAGACATCCAGCCAGCCTGCTCCCATCAGGTGCCCTGCAGAGCTGAAGAGGACCAGGGTCAGGGTCTGGAAGGAAAGTGGTCTTCAGGTCGGGCACCCTTTTCATCCTCAGCGTCGCATCAGCACAGGCTGCTCAACCTCTAACAAGCTGCATGGTCTGACTGGAAAGCTCAGAGCAGGCAGGCAGGAGAAACTGCCAATGAGGTCACTGAAGAGAGAAAAGAACTCTGAACATCAGTCATGGGACCAATAAAAGCATCGCTGAAGCCACTAAGTGCAAAGCTCACTCCAACAGTCCCCTTGCCTTATGGCCCCTCAGTGCGAAAACTGATGCTTCACGAGGTCATGAAGAAAAATGAGTGTCCTGATATCAGATTGTGCTGTATCTAATACAGGGAGAAAGACTTTCATGCTCAACTGTTAACAGAAGTGTTGGTGCTTAAGCTTGGAAACTTCATTGTCAGGGTAATGTGCCCCCCCAAAATAGTCCCATTCCCAGAGGAGCTGAACTGTGAGCCATCACTCAGGCCCCACAGCCCCACAGCCCTTCCCTGCCACTGAGATCAGCCTGCCCATCTCACATGTTTAAACTTCAATTTCAAGTTTAGACTTCAATTTCCCTCAGCCTCCAAAAGTGCCCCACCTATGGTGCAGGCCCCCAAACTACAAGGAGAGCAGCACAGCATCGGATTTCCCAGGAATTTCTGGGAGGCCAGAGGGAATTAGCCTGGAGGCTGAACTAAATAAAGAACTCTCTTAAAGACAGACCACTTCATTACTTTCTAAAGCAGAAGCTAACTGCTAAAGATGCCTGTAAGAAAAGGACCTGGATCCTTAACTGAATGACAAAATCAGACTCATTTACAATTATCCACATACCATTTGAAGTTAGTTTTTCTCAGTTAAGTCAAACAAACTCTTTCCACCCCTCAATTTTTTTTTTTTTTTTTCGTTTTACTATTTGCTGGCATTTTCTCTCAATGACATATCCCATATCTGAGTCATTCATCACACATTTCTCATTAGGGCAGGTTTCCCTTTGGAAATAAATCCCCCTTTTTTTGCAGTCCACTGCCTTAGGCCCCCAAAACTGTCAATTCGTTGGCTGAACAGCAGGTGAGGGCCTTGAGACCTTGAGTTCAATCCCCTCCCCTCTAGTGTTCCCTCATTCTGGTCCCTACCTTCAGTCCACCCGCCCCCACCTTCTCTCTGCTGGTCCCCTTCTGTCTCCATCCCACCTCACCCACGATCTCCCTGAGACTTCACAGGGCCAAACCACCCCACCTCTGTGCTTTCCCATTCTTTGGCGTCCTCCTGTCTCCTCCCCTCCCCCAATACCTATTCACCCTTTCACCCAGGTCAGCTGTCCCTACCTGTTCTCAGAATATGCTGACCTGAAGTCATCAAGTCATGTCCCTCTCATGCCCATTGCCGCCTGTAGAAGTCCTCCGGTCATCCACTCCTTCATCCTTTAAACCCAAGTAGAGGGGACCCTAAGCACTCGCCTTCCCCTCCCAGGCAGCTCCCCCTCCTCAGAACCCATGGTCGAGCTGTTATCCTTCCCAGGGCATGGGACACTGCTTCTCTCCCAGCTCCAGCTAGCCGGTTAGGCTTTTCAGAATCACCAACACAGTGACAGATCTGCCTACATGCCCCCTGCACATCCCGGGCCTCCGTAAGCACGACCACCCGGTACACAGCCTCCTCCAGCCCCAGCCCCCTGGGCTGGAGGGAGGGGGTGGCCAGGTGGGAGGCGGGGTTGGATTCCCACCGCCCCCAGCTACCTCTGGGCCTGGGAGCCAGGGATGCCGCCCCGATCCCCCTGCTCACGGCCGCAAGGGCCAGCTCGGGATACGAAGAAGGTCGGGTGGTTGAGCCCTACATGGAAGAGGACGGCCCACTGCCCGCTCTTGCGGCCTTGCAGCAGGCACCGGCCGCAGACAAAGGCCGCCCCCGCCCGCGCCACGCAAGCACTCACCGCGCCGCGCCCACTCCTGAGATCCGGGACTTTGCGGAGCTGCGGAGTCGCTGCCGCCTGGAGGCCAGACCCGAATGGAATGAGGGTCCAGGGTCTGGGCAACCGGGGAGCCTGAGGGGCGGGGCGGGCTGGAGGAAGCCACGGGCCAGGAAAGGCGGTGGGTGCGCCCAGAGATCGGATTGGCCCCGAGGCGGTGGTTTGGGGCCAAGGCCTGAGCCCGCCCGCTGGGCAGGGCGCTGGGCCTGGACCCCGCCCCTGAACCCAGTCCTGACCATGCGGGAGAAGGGACGCCCTGGGAAGGAGGTGCTCTCCCAATCGCTGCCCCTCCTCCTCCCCCTTCCCACACTCCCAGGATCCAAAGTTAATTTTCTGTGAGAGGAACACGGCGTCAGTCACTGACCTCTCAGCTCCTCCCCATCAGGCTGCCAGCGGTAGCTCTCTTCCCCGCTGTCCGACCCCAGGCCTGCTTCCCTCAACACCAGGCTGCTACCGCGGTCTGGAAAGGGTTAATTCGACTGCGAGGAATTAAGAGCTGCTCTATAAATACAGCGTAGTGGGAGCCTGAGCCAACCGCAGGGTAATTTCCACCGGGCTGGTTTTCCTCTTTTCCTTCCGCCCACGGAACCCCCCCTCCCTGCCCCGTCCCGCCCCGCCCCACGGCCAGGCCCATCCATTGCCGCATGCCCGGCGCTGGCCAGACCCGGCTGGCTCCCATAGAGGTTTCAGCTCTGACAACCTTAGCGCAGACTGTCCTTGTAAAGTCCATCTCCAGCCTGGGAGGACATGGGGGCCAGGCTCTGCCTTGGCCCATCCCTCCTTGCACCTGTTCTTCATCAGCTAGCGATAGCAACAGCTCCAGTGGAACAGGCTTCTGTGGGCCAGGCTCTTTCCATGCTGGGCCTCTGTGGATCCTCACAACAGCCCATCAAGTAGATATTATCCCTGTTTTACAGATGAGGAAACCGAAGCTCTAACCTTGTGCTGTTGCCAAGCCTACCACCAAGTTGCGGTAGACTATGGGGGAGAGCTTAAGAAGCATGCACGAACATGTGTGTGTGTGCAGGTTAGCCATTTAAAGCTCTTTACCATTGTATCTCATTTTATCTTCACAACTCAAGTAAATGCTATTACTATCCTTATCTTTGCAAATAAGGAAATTAAGACACAAAGAGATTAGGTAACTTGCTTCAGGATATCCACCCATTAAGTGGAAGAACCAGGATCTGCCCCATTGAATTTAGTGCTGAATTCAAATTTAACTATGGGGTATGTGTGTGTATCCATAGTGCATGGGTATGTGCATTTGTGAGCATGTAAGAACCTGTATTTGAGTTTATATGCACATGCATTCATGAATATAAGTTTGATGGTAGCTATGTCTCTCTGGCTGCTCCTAGGGATGGGAGCAGGGTGTGGGACATCAAGGTCAGGCCATCTGGTCCAGTGTCCCTGGAAATCATCAGCTTCCCCGCCAACCCACACTGCTCCCCCTGCCCTTTCAGGCTCTGTGCTGCTTGAGCCTGGCTTGCAGGTCTCAGGATGAGTAGCCCCACTGGGGCCCACAACCTGGGGCGAAGTATCCAGGGAGAGAGGCATCCCTGGCCTGAGAGAGCCAGGAGTCCTGCAGCAGAACCCTTGAACAAATCTAGAGGAATTTACTTTTCTTCCTTTTTACAAAAGTCAGTTCTGTGCTTTGTGCCCTACTGTGGTGGCGCAGGGTCCTGTCCCAGAGAACTACAGTCTAGCAGGGAAGGCACCACTCAGCTGTGACAGACAGTGAAGGAACAGCACAGGGCAGTTGATAGTGGGGGTTGGGGGAGACTTATGATAAAAATCAAAAGACAATATGATACAGTTTTTTAAGAGAACAGGTCAGGAGGGAAGGAAATGAGTGTTCACTCTGGTTCCTGGAAGCAGTGGCTTGAGAGGGCGCTGATTCCCCCAGAAAGGGCAAACAGCTGGGGCAGGGGATTCACAACATGTCTGTCTGCAGGACAGGCTCCGCTGAGACTCAGATACCTGGCCCCAAACTCAAACAGCTAGAGTGGCCACCTCAGCACAGAGGAATCTCCTCAGTTCAGAGAATGCTTGTTATATGCCTAGTTGAAAACACATCCTTTCTCAGACTGCCTTGAAGCAGAGGTGGTCATGTGACCCAGTGTGGCCCAAGAGACAGGAGAGAAGCCCACTGGTTGGGGTTTTGGGGAAAGCTTGTTAAAGGAGACGAAGACTTACACTATGGAAGACAGCAGGGTGTTTCCTCAAAAATTAAAAATAAAATTACCACAGAATCCAACAATCCCACTTCTGGGTATGTACCCCAAAAAGTTGAAAGCAGAGTCTCAAAGATATATTGTACACTCATGTCCGTATCGGCATTATTCACAATAACCAAAAGGTGGAAGCAATCCATGTGCCCATCAATGGATGAGTGGATAAACCAAATATGGTATATACATACAACAGAGTATCACTCAACCTTAAAAGGGAAGGAAATTCTGACACATGCCACAACATGGGTGAACCTTGAGGACATTACGCTAAGTGAACTAAGCCAGACACACATAAACAAAATGCTCTATGATTCTAGATAGTGAGCTAGCTAGAGTAGTCACTTTGTTAAGATAGAAGGTAGAATGGTGGCTGCCCGGGAGCTGGGACCAGGAGGGGAGGAGGGAATGCAAGTTGTCATTTAATGGGTATTGCAGGTCAGTTTTACAAGATGAAAAGACTTCTGGAAATTGGTTGCACGACAGTGTGAATGTACTTAACACTACTGAACTGTGCACTTAAAAGTGGTTAAGCTGGGAGCTGACTGGTGTGGCTCAGTTGGTTGGGCATCATCCTGCAAAATGAAGGTCACTAGCTCAATTCCCGGTTAGGCACATGCTTGGGTTGTGAGTTTGGTCCCCAATAGTGATGCTGTCGTGGCGTGAATGAGAGGCAACCATTTGATGTTTCTCCCTCACATTAAGGTTTCTCTCCCTCTCTGACTCCCTCCCTTCCCCTCCAAAAATAAATAAATAAAAACTTGGTTAATAAATATGGTTAAGATGGTAAATTTTTATGTGTGTTTTAATACAATTGACTTTTGTTTGTTTAAAGGAGCAGGCTTAGCTATCTTGTGTCTTTGCCTTTTGCTTTTCTCTTTCCCTTTTCTTGGTGCCCAGAGTGCAGACACAAAAGTAAAGCAGGCATCTTGTAACTATGAGGACAAAAGCTAAGGGTGGCCAGCAGAAAGTCAGAAGGAGCCCGGTACCTGGAGGCATTGTGGAGCTGCCACGCCAGCTCTGGATTGCTTCCAGCCCTTGGCCTGGCCCCCAAGGTACCATTGCTCACTCAAGACTGATGAGGAAGTAATGATTACCTTTGATAGTCTTGTCCTTCCTGGGCTACCTGCAAGGAACATCAGACCATTATTCTGGCAAAAGATTAGGGGGTGTGGGGGGCAGTCTGACCCTCTTATTACTTTCCCCAGGACAGAAAGTATGAGTTCATGGTAAGATTGAACTTCCGTATGCCTCCTCTGACATATCAAAGGACAAGTATTCCCTCATTGATTGAATACACTTGAATCAAGCAAAGAGAACTCCAGAGCCCAGAGCAGCTGTCTAGAGCAGCTAAGCAGCCCATCTTTCAGAAAGCCCCTCACAGACATTGGCATGCCTGGCCTGGGAATGATACTCAAAATCTATTCATTTCCATAAGAGAAAAAATTGACTTTTGTAGTGTTGGGGTTTAAGGCCCTATTTGGACAGCTTTTTGAGAATTCCTGTGACACCAATATCTCAGCATTGGTCTCACTCTGCTCAGGCTGGTGGCTGCATATTACTTGCTGAGGTGTTTGCATTTTCAGGCCTCAAGTCCTTGACATCTTGGCAAAGGCCACCCCCACCCTGCCCACTCATTTCGGGCTCACCAGGCTGCCATCTGGAGCCGTCCATTCAGCACGCACTAAGGCAACTGCATTTCCTCCAAATGACCAGATGGAATGTAGGGTTGAATATCGTATAGAGTGATAACTGCAGATTCCTGCTTTCTAGTTTCTTATTCTTAGTGCTGGAGTGTTGGAGTAGACTTTAGGTGTCTAGATCCAAGTACACCCAGCTGGAAGCCCCTGGCCAACAACATAACAGGAGCAGCCTATAAAGGGGGAGGTACTTCCAAAAAGGCTCATGCGGGAACACCTCACCCCTTCCCTGACACATGTCTCCCAGCAGGGCTTGTATGACTGGCTGCCTTCATCTGACCCAGTAGCCTCACTTCCCCCTTGGTCACCCTCTTCACTGCCCTCCTCCTCCCATGTCCCTGGTGGAACCACTCAGTCCCCACTCCCCTTTCCTCTTCCTTCACCATAGTCAAGGCTCACAGGGCTCCAAACACCAGGGGTCCATCTCTGAGTCTGTATCCTGCTGCTAGAATGCCAGGGTGGTCCTCCAAAGATATGGGCTGGGGTGGAATTAAAAACAAAACAATAAAATAAAAACAGTACCATAGGGCCCAGGGAAATCTCTGGTCACAGGGGGGGGTTGTTTTGTCTAATGACTTCTAATCACATGCAAATAACTTGCTAATAACTGAGTGTGAGGCCCCCTTCAATGTTGTGCTATAGATGCTTCCTTTATGTTACCCTCGTCCTGGCCCTGCTCTTAGGTTTGGTCCAAGGGACAGGCTCAGAGAAGAGAGCACAGAACAGAGTTGACAGTTCCAGCTAGAAGAATAAGGCGGAGTGCCCCTGGCTGGGAGAACAAGGGGTCTGGCATCAGAAGTCAGCAGTGGAAACCCTTGTATGGAAGAGAGTGGAGAAACCACTTAAAATCCAGAAAGCCTCATCTCAATCCACGTGCTAAATCCTTAGTACTAATATTTGCTGTTTCCAGTCACAGGGTCTATTATGGTCTTTTGATTTCAGTTGGCCTTGAGATAATGTGCCTGGCTATCTTCAGGATATCTGACCATAGTCCCACAGGGACTACGGGACACATGGAAGGCTTAACTGCCCAAAGGTGAGGATAGTTTATTGCCCTTCCTAGTGGGGAGTTCTTAACACGCTGTTCTTTATGTCAATCCCTCATTTCTGAGGCAGGACCACCAACAGCCATTGCTAGCGCCCTCTCCTTCCTTGGCTTCTCT